GCCCCTGCCTCTGAGCATTGGGCTCATTCATTTGCTGCGGGTTCCGGCAGCAGGGTCCTGGCGTTGAAGGGACCCGGTGAAAGCCGCGCCTGGCCAGGGCCACCTGGAGGTCGCGGCTGAAGTTCGCGGTGGAGGAGGGACTGCCTGGTTGGGGAGGCACTGACTGATGAGCCATGCTCGCCCTGCCTGCTGCCACACTGAGACCTTCCCAGCCTGGCACGCCAGAGCGGCCCCTCTGGGGACGGGAGACGGTCCCGACCCCCCACCCCGTGGGAGGGACAGCCTTAGTCACTCCGCAACCAGGGCAAGCGCTCAGCCTGTAATCTATTTTTATTTATTAATCTTGCTGTTCCTCGGTGTCAGGTCTTGCCTGCTCTGAAATGACCTGAAAGCCATTCTGGCATGTGTCAGTGTTTAGTGGCCCGGGTTGGGCGACGAGGTGGAGCCGGAGTTGAACTTTCCCCATCCGGAGTCTCACTCCCGAGCTCATCTGTTATGGGGGGTACCCAGGGGGGCAGTACAGTGGGTTATCAGGTCCCATCCTGAGATTTAAGGGTTAATAGTGTGTGTGTTTCGGGGGTGGGTAGGGCTGTCCTGATGGCTGCTACAAAGCAGACCCCGAGCCAGACTGCCAGGGTATAACCAGCCCTGCGTGCCAGCTGACGGGGCCCATTAACTTCCCCGGAATTCCTCTGGGTAACCTGGTGGGCCGGGCTCAGCCTGCGGCTCTTTTGGCCAGCCCCTCTGCCTGGGAGGTAACGCTTTCAGGAAGTAAGACGTGCCAGTGTGGACACAGATGTGCCTGGGCCCCACCCCTGTGGTGGGACGCACTGTCAGAGCAGAGGTGGGCAGCCCAGGGCCCACGGGAGTGCCAGGCCACGTGAGCCCTTGCCACTGCCCACCTGCCCTCTCCCTGCCCTCCGTGGCTGCGAGTCTTCCTTCACAACGCTGTTCTGGCCGGAGTGTTTGGGTTTTCTTCCCTCCGGTTAATATTTAACTTGGTCTCTGAAGGAAAGCTGGTTGATTTCTGAACCTAGTGGACTGCCACTTCCTGCTCACAGCTTCTCTCCTCCCAGAATCTCAAAAGCCCTCAGAATATTTTGGAAGACTTGGGCATTTGCTCAGGTGCTCTGAAAACATTTGCTCCTACCATAACAAGAACAGTGGCTTTGAGGGTGACTCCCGGGGTGGTGGAGAGCCCTGGACAGGGGACTCTGGGACTCTGGAGACCATCTGGGCATTTACCTGAGCTCAGCTGCTTTGAGCAAGTTGCTCAAACTCCGAGACTGATGGGACTTTGCACAAAATACAGGGGAAACGGCCCTTTTGTTTATTAGAACAGACCATGGTGTGCAAATGAGAACTTTTTTCTTTTTTTAAAGTGATATTTTTGAGTTGGATTTCTTCAAGTTTTAGACAGTGCAGACTACACAGCAGCTTACTGGTCTTATCTAACTCTGTTCAGGGGTGCTGTGATGTGTGTCCCCTAAAACTCATGTGCAGAGATGTGGTTGTGAAGGTGTGAAGAGGAGACCTGATCCCTTCATGTCGAAAGGTGGGGCCTTTGGGGCCAGCCGGTGCTGTGGTCGTGAAGGTGCCGGATCCCATATGGCCAGTTCCATTGTTCAAGTCCCAGGCCTGGGCTCTTGTGCACGCACCCTGAGTCCTGAGAGGAGCATGGAGAAGAAGGGGTTGTGGCGTGGCCATTCCCTCTCGGGGTGATGTCTCACTTTCTCTCTCTATCTCTAAGCTGCCATGTGCCCCTGGTTGAATAAAACAGTGGGGCCTTTGGGAGTGATTGAGTGATTGGTGGCCCTGTGACACTCCTGGTGGGGTCACAGGAGGAGTGGGACCCGGAGACACGCGGGGATGGTGAGCGCAGGCGTGTTCTCCACACTCTCCATGCGACTCCCCACCAGCCGGAAAAACCTCACCAGAAGAACGTCAGCTCCTGGTCCTGGCCCCTGGCCCCGGCCCTCCACACCAGGAGCTGAATAAAGCTCGGGTTTGGGGAATCCCAGTTTGAGGTGTGTTCTGTTGTTAGCCACGGGGAGGGCCGGCAGCACCTGGGGGTGGGAAGCCTGTGCCCTGAACTGTGGTCACACATTTACTCGGCTCCCTGAGGAGCTGAAGCCTGAGTGAGTCGCTGCTGTCCACCAGCCAGGTGCCGGGTGAGGGCCTGGCCAAGGGAAGGAGACCCGTAACTGCCCCGAGGACTTGCCATCCAGGAGAGAGCCCAGGCTTTGGTTTGGGGGAGAAGAGGGGAGCCAAAAGGTGGACCAAGGTGTGTGGTGTGGAGGAAGCTGGTGACCAGTCTGCTCCGGGTGGCCCACCGGCCCTGGGTGGTCTGGTGGCTTGCCGATGGCTCTTGAATTGGGGCTCACAGGTTCTTATGAGACCGGACAATGCAAGCATGCCTCGCTTTACCCAGTAAAACCATGGCAGGCAAGTTGAGTCCTTCTTTTATTTTTATTTATTTATTTTTTTTGGAGAGATTTTCACTGTAGGGCGCGTGCGCTCGCCAGACAGAGACATAGAGACAGAAAGCGAGAAATCGCCCCCCAGGGGGGATGGTCACGCCACAATCCCTTCTCCTCCATTCTCCTCTCGGGATCTTGGGCACGCACGCACACGCGCCCGGCGTGAGTTTTAAGCCACCGGGTCCGGGACACGAACCGCGGTCGACTACGTGGGAGTCCAGTGACATAGCCATTACACTAACTGCTGGTTCCCAGTTGAGTCCTTCTTGTAAATCATTTAAATGTTCAAGAGCAAGCATGCTTAAAAGACATCTGGAAGGTCAGTTCACCTCCACCAAGATTTATTTACCATGAGCAGAGCTATGGTGGGTCATCGCTTGTGAACATTCCAATGTGTTCGTCTCCCCGTAATGTAGGTAACATGCTACTTCGGGGAGATTTAAAGGCTAGACACCTTTACCGGTACGCCCTCCTGTTCTTTCACCATGGAGCACAGTGGCCTGTGCTAAGCTCGCTATGGCAGGTGACATGTCAATGCTTTAGACACAGACTCACCTGTCATCTCACTCAGCTCCGTGAGACTGTTGTCCCGTTCTTGGGGATCACAGAAATCCAACGCTGTTATCTCTTCTGGGCAGAAAACTGGTTTAGGGAAACTGAAGTTACACTGCTAGAAAATAATTCTCTATGAATCTGGGCTTATTGACTCTATGCTATTTTCAGCTTACTTTTTTCTCCACCCAAATATGGAATCTCTGTGTCCTAAGCATAACTTATACAGCATTATTTTTGGCTTTTTATGGCTGCATCTTGGCTGAAGCAATCCCCTATTGTTGGACACTGAGTCTGTTTCTAGTCCCACTACTTTACACAGCCACGTATTAAATATCTTTCTAGCTATTTCCGTGTGCTCCTCCATGATTATTTCAGGTCTTCCTGGCACTTTCAATGTGAAATATAATATGTAATAATATTTGATCGGGCTGCCTTTTTCTTTCTTTCTTTTTTTTTTTTTATTTTGAGAGGTTTTTGCTATAGGGCGCGTGTGCTCGCCAGACAGACAGAGAGACAGAAAGTGAGAAATCACCCTCTAGGGGGGATGGCCACGCCACAATCCCTTCTCCTCCATTTCTCCTTCATTCTCCTC